GTAGACATATGAGAAAAAAAATCATTAGGACAAAATTGAACACCCACCACTTGAAATAAAAAGACTTAGCATGCAAGCACACGGTTAGTAAATCGAATACAACATATCTACAAACGCTGCGCTGGTTCTGCTTACGTTCTCTGCTGGACCCGTCGTCGTTTCGGTGGTGGTCACGAGTGGCCTCGCTCATGGTTCCTTAGGCCTGTCTGACGCACGTACTCGCGACCGCATGTGCTACAGCACCATACACTCGATGTCGATGGAGTACAATCCATCGGTGCTTGCCGCTTCCGCACTGCATGTGTGAGGTCTTTCTCCCCCACTTCGGAAACTGCCTTCGTGATCAGATCGCGCCATGTACGCCGATCAACCACCTTCAATTCCCATGACCTGCAATCAAGATTAGAACGTGAAAGGCTCACTTTGATCGTGTCCTGGTAACGTAACTTTGGTTTCCCCACATGCCGCTTCCCAATACTCAGCTGACCATATAGGAGTTGTATCGGTATCCGCGTCCAATTCATACGGCTCACATGACCCAGCCACCTCAGGTGTCTCAGCCAAAGTATGCAGTGCACTGCATACACTCCACTTTGTCACAACACTTCCGTGTCAGCAACTCTGTCACTCCATCCGATGCGTAAAATCCGTCACAAGCACTGTTGATGGAACCGCCGAGATATCGTATATCCCGCCGGTACATCGTCCACGTTTCACTGCCGTATGGAAGAGCGGACAGCACCATGGATTTGTACACCATCAGCTTCGTGTCAATGGTAAACTGATGGTTGTTCCACACTCGGTACTCAAGCTTCCCGAATGCCGCCGCCGCCGCCTTCGAAACGCGGATACGCAGCTCACTGTGTATCTGCTGATCAGTCGACATCACACTCCCAAGGTCGCAGAAGCTGGAGGTGATTTCCAATACTTCAGCATCAATGCTTATTCGTGGCAATATTGAAGGTTGCACCTCCGGTGAAGGCTGCAAGAGACAGGTATCTCTGCCTGTGTTGATTGTGAGCCCGAATTTGGTCGCTGTCGAAGCCAGAGCACTAGTCATGTGCTGCAACTCATCCGCGCTGTGTGCAAACAACGCAGTGTTGTCAGCAAACAGCAGCATACGGATAGTTGTCTCACAGACTAGAGTTCTCGCACCGAAACGACGGATGTTCAGCAACCCACCATCATTACGGTGCTCCACACGAACACCGTAAGCACAAGCGGCATCAAACGCACAAGACATCATGGCATGAAGATATATATTAAAAAGGGCAGGAGCTATGTCACAGCCTTGCTTCATACCTGAGACAACTGCAATGTCATCTGAGGTCTCTCCGTTCGGCTGCAGCTTCAACCGAATAACATTGTGCAGACATTCAATTAAACTTACAAACTTACGCGGGCAACCAAACTTACTTAACACCAGCCACCATGCCTCGCGGTTCACCGTATCAAATTCCTTGGTGAAATCAACAAAAAGCGAGTACAATGGCTGGTGTCGTTCTCTGCACTTCTCTTGCAACTGACGAGCCGCAAACACCATATCTATAGTTTTGCGATCCGAACGGAATCCACATTGCTCTTCCGCCACTTTAGGTTCCACAACCTGACTGACGAGGCGGTTGAGCAGGATTCGGGCAATCACCTTGCCCACACAACTTAGCAAGTTGATGCCACGATAATTCGTGCAACATTACTTGCTACCTTTACCCTTGTACAGTGATAGCACAAGGCTATCCTTCAGCTCAGCAGGTACCTCCTCCTCAATCCATAAGCCTTGCATCAAGTGGTGCAGCGCAGTCACCAACGCGGGTCCGCCGTGTTTCATTACGTCAGGCGGGATCCCGTCGGCCCCAGCACACTTGCCGTTTCGCAGGTGAGCAAGTGTTTTCTGCGTCTCATCCAGTGTCGGCGTGTCCGTCAGACTCGCCTTCACATGGTGCTGCTTGAGGCCGTTCAATGTAGGCCAGTCGATCTCTGAACGGTTGTTCAGGAGACAGTCAAAGTGTTTCCGCCAGATCTGCATTATGTCTGCAGTCTGTGTGCAGGTAGCGCCTGAACTACCATCGATCAGTGTCCTGAGCGGCTCCAATCTCGGTCCATACACCGCCTTCAAGGAGTCAAAGAATTCCTTGTGTTAGCGGCGTTCGGCGTAGCATTCCATCTCCTTCGCCTTCTCCGTCCACCATGCATTTTTTATGCGACGGTGCTCTCGGGTCAGTCGCCGTCGAAGATTGCAAAACTGACTACTCTTCCTCAAGTCACTGGGTCTGCCACATGTGCAGCAAATGCTGCGTTCTTTCCCGACTCCAATGCGCCAATCGTCGCATTGTTGTCAGCAAACCAATCAGTCCGCTTACAGTTTGCGCGCCCGATGGTCTCCTCGGCTGCAGCTGTCACCTGGTCGCGGATGGGGTCCCACAGTACGCCCACTGTGGCTATGCAGTCCACATCACACAGGCGTGCAGCCATCACCTGCTGCTCAGTATGTCTCTCCAAAGTACCGATGGAGAGAATGTTACATTTACGCCGGTTCACGGCGGGAGTGCAATACATAGATTTACGAAAACATATGTACAGTTTGGTGCACACCAATTTGTGATCAGTGCCACACTCAGCTCCACGCAGTACACGTGTCATGCGCACTTCACGCATATCACGCTGACGTACGATGACATAGTCGAGCAGGTGAGCGTGACCACTCCGTGGGTGCGTCCAAATTGCTATATCACTCGCACTCAGTGCAAACCGAGTGTTCGTGATCGTCAGGCCGTGAGTGGCACACAGTGAGAGCAGCCTGTCACCGTTCGCATTCGCTGAACCGATGCCATGCGGTCCGATGACACCTTTCCACACCGATGCATCACGCCCAACGCGCGCGTTCCAATCACCCAGCAGAAATAGTCGGTCGCTCCTCGGCACAGACGATATCGCAGAGAATAGCTGAGTGTATAATTGATCACGTATGTCATCAGAATAACACATAATAGTGGCAAACTTACCTTTTCCGAGTCGTAGAAGAACAGTCATCAGTTGCGCGCCATGGACGCAATCGGATATTGCAAACCTGATCCCATGTTCACGTGGTGCTGATGCGGCGTTGCCCACCCAGTAGAATGTGTAGCCAGCACCTGCTTCATGCAACTTACCTTGCTCAGCTAGTCAGATTTCACTGAGCGCCGCAATATGGATGTGGTAATGCGCCAGCTCCATCGCGACGAGTGCAGTGCGTCGCTCGGGGCGCTCACTGTAGTTCCGGTCCAGTAGTGTGCGCACGTTCCAGCACCCGATGCTGAGTGCTTTGCGCGCAGGCTTACGATTGCATTGGTGGCTGTACTTCGGAAGTTTGCTTGAGGGACTCCACCCGGAGCTTCTGGCTCAAGAGCCTGAACCACAAGGCAGTGGGGAGCAGATCCATCTCGGGAATGTGATTGCACAGACAGATTGGGATCTGCTTGACGACCGTCACACGCAGCCTTTGAGGTACTGGAACGATTCATATATGTTTTGCGACCGTAGTAGGATACGCACCTGCGACCACGGCCAGACGCAGATAGGTTTTGGTGGATTTGCACCGATTTGACCAGGGGTTGCCTGGCTTGAGGCGGGCAGTAGCAAACCATTGAACACCCGGAGGTGCCCTCCCACCCTCAGAGACAATGCGTGACGTTGGTGCTCTACGCCAATCGAGCTGTGAGCTTATTATCCGTAGACCTGTTGTCTCCCATGGCTAAGTTTTACGGGAAGAGGGCCATCGACCACTTCCTAACCTCCGAAGAGGATGGACTAGGATACTGGCAGGGCGCCCACACCTGACAGGAGAACGACTCGGGTCCTCAGCCAAAGCCTTCGATTAAATGTACACCCGAAAGGCAGCGGGTCTAGCACATGGTCAATTCACTGACTCATGCGGATTGGTGTCCTGGATCTTAGCAAGGAGAAGGGTGTGATCCAACGCCCACACAGCGGTCACCACGAAGCGTCCAGGACATGAGCAAATGGCGCAACAGTAGCAGCAGTCAGGATCTAGCCACCACCAGTCTCCCGCCAATGTATATATATATATATATATATATATATATATATATATATATATATATTTGTTGCGTTTGCTGAAAGCAACGCACATTTCACACGCTTTTATAGTTATTGTTCTCCTTAAAACCATAACTTAATCGGTCTTTGTGATTCCTCGCCGCTCTACTGTTCATTCGCTGAAGCATCCTTATACATCAGCCCCAAGTCGTTTGCCGTTTGCATCATATCGAGCCTGCTAACTTAACTGTCCAAACGCATGTTCTATCATCACATCTGTATCCGCGATAACTCGGTCCGCAAGTTATGTTGTCCGAATAATAGCTCCGTGCGCTATTGTCCACGTATCTGCCATTCCTATTTGCTTCCTGAATCTTCACTTTTTATGTACGGGTTACCTGTCTTGTTTGGATTGAGAAACGCAACCTTATGTTCAACGATGTTTTGATTTGGAGTCTGCCACCATCCATCCGATGGCATGGATCATGTCCGAATTACTGGTGTATTCCATGCTATCCGCTTCCAATATTGCAACCAACGATCGGTGTTGTCGTTGTTCACACTTTTCAAGTGGAGGTCGTTGGTGCGCGTAATGGAATCCGTGACGCTGTGGTTGCCCTCGGGCACCACAGATTGTTTTCAACCAAGTTGGCATAACGTTGCTTTGCACTCTTTTCAGGCAAAATGCAACATACTTCGATGGAGACGCCGGGTGGTTCTTCCATCTGAGCACTGTTTTCGCACATTTCGTTGCTTCCAGTAAATTACGCTAATAGCGTTACAAAGCATGGGGTTGAAGCGTTTGCAAACAAACGCTTAACTCATAGAACCCCCGAACATCCTCCCGAGCATTCTCGGCCACTGCCAGCATATTACGATTCTCGGTCTACTTCGCAACATGCAATTCTGTCTTGCTTTCGTTCCTACCTGCGTTTTCTTTTCTTTTCCATCCACTACCTATACAGGGATATCAGCCCAGGCGAGGAATTGACTTTCAACTATAATTTTGTTGCCCTTGGCCAGGAGCGCCTTTCTTGTCGATGCGGTGCGTCAAATTGTGTGGGCTTCCTTGGCGCATCGGCATCTACAAATGGCACGAATAACCGTGGTGGTGACGACGATGATTCTGCCACAGCGAACAACACCTCCCGGGCCAAACGCAATGCAGCAGGTGAAACGGTCGGTGACTTTGGTAAAACTCACGGTCCCAGTGATGGGAGCAAATCCGGCACTCTCGCCTGTAATGCTGGTGGTTTTAGCGGGAGGCACAACGCCCAACCGGAAAGCATTCTGTCAAGGGCCGCGCGTCATGAACACGTCTGTTTTCGGTGAGTCAACTTCTGCCCTATCCTATTTATATCCGTCGCATTCGTTTTCTCCATCGTGTGCCACAGCTTGCCTCCAACCACGACTGTGACTTGCTAACATTGTGCTAAAGGCACATTCTCTGATGGGCGAATCCACTCGGAATTGATAGCGGCCACGAGTGTAACACCGGTGTTCTTCCACGTCCATTACGGACACAAACAACGCGCTTTGACAAACATCAGCATTGCTAAGTGTTGCTAGCTGCAATCTCTGCACTCCACGACCGTTTTTGTGCTATTTTAAGCTTTTCACATAGAGGCAAGTGAAGCTGAGTGTGTGTGCAACCCGGTACGCTAGTGGTGATTGACGGCCGAGACACATTGACAATCAGACCACTGACTGTGCGAACAGTGCTCATCACAACGATCCTCAACGACTCGCGGCTTCTCATGAGTAGAGGGACTTGAGGTTTATAGCTATTAGACAACAAGCCAGATAAGCCAACTACCAGTCCGGAAAAGCCCCAGACGGCCGTTTCATCCTCTTGGGACTCGTCCTGAGATGCGCACCACTGACGAGTCCCGGGAGGACGAAACGGCCTCCTGGTGCTTTTCCGTATTGGTTGCTGTCATGTCTGCCTTCTTATCTCGTTGCGATAAATTAAATACGACTCGTGGACGGTTTTATTTGAAGCACCTGCTTTGGATGGATTCTGAGTGTCTTACTTTGGGCAACGGGCAATTCCTACCAGTTATCCGCTTCTGACAAGTTTCCACTGACCGAGTTGCTCCAGATCCACGTCAAATTACACCACTGACCAGATTAAGCTTGTACGCGTCCCAATCGATTCACACAGCGCAGAAGCTTCAACTAAGATCAGCAGCAGATATCCAAGTGATTCTGAAGTTGCGTTCCAAACTCAGAGCGAATCTTTGTCGCTTTGATTCAAACGTGGAAGTTCGTGACTCTCGAAGCCGCTCTCGCAACTCCGGTACTCGCGATGTAGCTGTTTGGACGCTTAGTTAGCAACCTACTTGTAATCGGGCTCCTGCTCCTTCGTGAGTTTGTGGCACCTCACATGCAATGAACCACTTGCGGGGTCACATAGCAGCGAATAGTCCCTACGTAGTATTGGTGCACTACTGGAACCGCTTCTCCTGGAAACATCATTCATCATCATTATACACGTTAACTAGAGGTGGGAAACACCTCAACTACTGTGCCGCAATACATAAAAGAAAAGGAAAATAAATACAACAGTTGCATACCAGCAACGGATGGGCATCGTTCTGGTAAGCTGCCAGCCGGCTATTAGGCAACAAGAAAAATTAAGTAAAATTACATGCTACGAAATGTGATCGTGGTTGGAGCGGGAGTCTAAAAAGGATTGGGAGAGACGAAGAAACTCACAGCGGGAACGCCACTAAGGTCGGCTTCTCGCCATGTCAGCAAGTGTACCTAGCCAAACGTGTTCATCGTCTCTCGGACCCCAACCAGGGAGTCAAAACGCTCTAACCGAGGCCAGCTCAGAAGTGAGGGCCTTCATTCCTCTCGACCAAGTCATCGCTTGGCCACCCCTCCTCTTCTTCCATCCACACCCCCGGCGCGCAAGCAACGCACGTCGCGGGAGTCGGTGGGCTGGCATGCGCAACACGTGGCCGAGCCATCGGAACCTGGTGCATGAAATGACGGTGCTGAGCGGTTAAGTTCCTTTTCCTGTGCCGTAAACAAGGCGTCGAACACGCTCGTTACTTACGCGGTGTTCCCTCTCCCGGAAACAGCCCTATTGTTATGCTTATTTCACCGGCAAACCGATTTTCCAAAGGGAAAAGTCGTCACGTGTACTCTGCATGTGACCAAATAACCATAGTATACTAAATCGGTCAACTAACTATTGTATGTCGTTTGCTCGCAGCGACCGATTCTGTACTTTGTTGCACTCATCGGGTAAAGATACCAGAAGTGACATTTGAGATATCAGCCGAACTCTCCATTCCATTAGCCACCCACCGCGACACACACACAACGCGTGCTTCGAACTGACTCCCACTTGGGGAGATCGAATAGTTTGAAGGTCAATTAGCCGTCCGTGTCGAAAACACGCTTGACGGTCGTTTTATCCTCTCGAGACTCGTCAGTAGTGCATAATGTCAAACTACCTTTCAAATCATGTTAATTTGTTCTCCAGCTGTGCAAACAAATTGTTGTTATCCAGAGGAGGGCGACCATTTCTCGGCGTCATAACACCGTGGCAGTGTCGGATGGCCATTATAGCTTTAGATTACTCGCTCTACCACGTGGCTTGTCAATCATACCACCCTGGCTCAGAGGCTTTACTTCCTGTTTGCGGAGGGCCAAGCTCACTTTTCGAGTCTCTCATCCAGTCTAATGAACACTGACTTCTGGCATTGATCTAGGTTCTCCATGTTATTTCCTGTTAACTGTTCTAGTTTTTTCTGACCGATTGAAAGCACTTGTGTTTGTAATTTTGTACACGTTCTATCCTCCGCATAGCTGTGGTGATTCACATCCTCCGAAACCGTTCACCATGGACGAGCTTGATGACATCCGGATAAAACCATCTGGGATACTCGTCAAGCCTCAGCCGCCCAAGCGCGGCCTGGAACGTGAGTTGAAAGAGTTGGTTGCCGACGCGATTAATTGTTCACCGATAAAAGACCCCGCCGGCCGAATATCAAACAGCACTAGAGTTCGCTCGAGGTTCGAAGGTGTCGCGGAGTCATCTGAGAATGGAGTGCTGTCCGATTTGATCTACTGCAGCAAGTCGGATTGTACAAAGGTCTATCATCTCCAGTGTCTTGATTTGAACTCCCCACCGATTGGTGAGTTGATTTCTGCCTTTCGTCTTTAACGTCGTTGCATAACTTGGGTGTCTGACGCCGAAAGATAGATATGGGCTACGATTTTTCTAAAGCAGTGTGTTTTTTCGTCGAAGCGAAATCAGTGTCAGAATTCAATAAATTCCTAGCTTCCCACTTTGTGGAGCACAGGTTTCGCGAAGGCATCGCACTTGATTAAGATTTCATCTCACAACCAACCTGCGTTGAAAGTGCGTTGTAATAGATGACGTTATTTCGCGTGTGTTTTGTTTCATGTTGCATACACCATGCTTCTTCACCTCATTTGGGCTACTCCGACTTGCACTTAAAGTGAATTTTCTTAACTTGGATGAAAAGTATTCCACCTTATTTGATTTGCTCAGTTCTGTCATTCTACTGAATTTTCCATGTCAATCTTGCATGTTTATTTTCCTTCGAATTCTATATTGATTGTTTGATGTCCCCGGTGTAGCTGCGCTTGATGTGAATGTCGACAAGATGCCTACCTGTCTAACACCCTCTACCTCGATTATACTGGTTCCTGGAGACTGAATCGTTGCCAGGGGGAGACGCGGTGCATGGTCTTCGTGACCGTGCTAGTTACAAAGAATAGTTCTATCCAATGTGGAGCGGACTACGGGCCAGCCACCGCCTTGTGCACTTCTAATACGCATGATTCCCTACATAGCTAGACAGGAATGCTACTGCTGTGCATGTTGAAGGAATGTGGGCCGTCTCTGTTGATGTAACCTGGATCCCATCCGCATACCCGATCTTTTTCTTTCGGCTTTACACTGAATATTGGGTGTGTGGGTGTTGCAGCGCAAGCCAACCATGGTCCATCTGTTGGCGCAGGCGTCCTGTGGAAGCCGCAGTGGCAGACAAATCCAGAACCGGATTCTGCCAACTATTCCACGTGTGTGCCCTATAATATCTCGATAGCGCAACACATGCATATCTTGATCTCTACATTCAGTCTTCAGTATACACAGTGCATGTCGCGACTCTACACCGTGATAATCTTTTCCTATGCTAAACAGACCTCAATTAACTTAATCAACCTGGACATTCACATACCATCATTATTATTTCTCGGCATATTATCAGGCTAGTTTCCGAATACACATCTGGGATAGTTTACGCGCAACCAATCAATGCTTGACCCTTGCAATGATATTTTTTGTAATTAAATTATGCCTGTTCAGCCATGTCTCTTGGAGATCAAGAATAAACGTTATTTATTTAGTTGTGTATGTGTTCGGCTGCGGCACGTATTGCCACGGCTCGTGTAGTTGCCTGTGAAAACAGCGAAACCTAGGCTGATCCATTTAGGAAGGAATTCACATTATGGTGCAGGCAGTTTTAGTTTATGCCTAGAAAATAGCCATTCATTCTGCGAATATCGAGCTACACGTTGTCTTCGATCGCCATTGGCTTCCGTGACTCGGTCACATGGTCCACCTACGTGCAACTCGGTCGCTCTAGTGTGTATTGTTTACCAGTACCTCGCTTATTTGAGTGAGGCCTCGAGGTGGTCAGTCAATTGCATCCAAAAGTGCATGAAGAAACTCACCGAAAGGCTTGGTTGGATTTGTGCTTATGGTCCTCTTTAATTTGTTCTCTGGAATTGGTGGCTGGGTATTCTTTCAGGTATGGCACTGTCTTACTTATTTTGCTTTACCATGGCTAACTTTTGTGACAGGATAAGCCAGCTTCATGAATGTTGCGGATTGCGGCTGTCCAAGCGCGGCGGTTAGCGGCAAGCTCCACGCAGATACTGATCCAATTGTTTCTCCATTGACGAGCACCATGCACAACCAAGGATCCCAAAAGATCGACATTCGACTTCACTGTAGCGAGCCACGTTTTTGATTGTCTACAACGGCGACGACACTAACCCTGGCAAGGTGAGGGCGAAATCACGGACCTAGTGAAGTTAGTGTCTGGTCTGCGGAGGACGTGACCGAACCACTGAAGTCTGCGGCGTTGGATAAGCAATGAGAGCACAGTCACGAATCTTGTCGCGCTCTTCCGTTCTTTCTCTTATTTTTGACCGCTAATTATTCTGCTGGACAAATTTTCTTGTAGTATTGCTGTTGTCGTCGTCATTGTTGTTCTTTTGACGATGTTTATCTGGGAGGCTTGGTCCATCATCATTATCAGTACACGTTAGCTGAAGATAATAAACATACATCTGCTGTTGTACCGCAATACAAAAGAATACAAAATCTAATAAGCAAAGGATACAATGCTAAGTATCATGTTCGTGGAGTGTGAGATCGTCGTTGGAGGAGGAACTAAACGAGAAAGAGAGGGCCAAAGATGCTCACAACACAAGCGCCATGTCGACTGATATATCTAACCAAACATGTTCATCGTCCTTGGTACCCTAGCCCAGCAGTCAGGAGACACCAATGGACGCCAACTTCCAAGTGAGTATCTTCTTTCCTCTTGACCAGGTCATCGCTTGGCCTCCCCTCTTCCCTTCCATCCACACCCCAGTCGAACAAAAAGCGCACCTCGAGGGAGTCGGTGTGTTGGCATGTGCAACACGCGGCCCAACCATCAGAGCCTGGTACGTGAAATAACGCGGTGCCGAACACATTCATTGCTCACGCGGTGTTCCCACCAAGCATGAGTTAGACTGCGAAGGTAGTAATGAACGAACGTGATTAGCCTCTTCATGTCTGTCGATGTGATAGGCCAGGATTCGTAACCGTATAGAAGGGTTGAACGGACGGCTGTATTGTAAACTCTGCCTTTCTTGGCGAGAGTGATGCTGCGCTGGCGTCACAAGTGGCGGAGATTGGAAAAAAGTGTCTTACACTTTTCTACTCGGTTTGTGTTCTCATCTTTTCCACAAGTGCTAATCTAGCTGCCTAGATACTTGGATTTCTGGACGCTTTCTAGCTGATCGCCACCAAGGGGTGGAGTGGCTTGTTCCGCCGCACCTATGTTGCCTAGTCAAAGTTAACGAATCGAGCTCCACTGAGGCTTTTTTATGCTTAAAAGTCAATCTATCCACTCCTCTTCATCCTCTTTTTGATCAGACTATTGGTTGTTCGCAGCCATTCGATGAATCAGAAGCGAAAATTTTGGAGATTTTACTGACTTATTTTTACATATGATCGAAGGTATGCGCACCAATGACGATCTCCAATAGGGTGTAGCGATGTTCTGCATTGCGAGCCACTGGGACGAATCAGTTAAACTTCATCGAAATCCTCCTACTCATTAGTAATCTCAGACATGCCAAACTTGTCATTGCATTATTTATGCTGCTTAGTACGTCCTGGAATCGCGTGTTTAGCGTTTCACTCCTCTTCCCCCCCCCCCTCCTCCCATCTCATCACAGGTCGTTGGTTTTGCCCTTGGCACCATTGTGATGCATGTGGACGCCCATCTCACGTCTTTTGCTGTATGTGTCCATCCTCATTCTGCTTGGCCCACGCAGAGGGCAGTATCGCTGTGCTTCCCCCTTCCCTACCTCCGAAACCACCCATGTCCACGCGCCGATCTGCCAAATTGGACGAGGCCTCTCGCTCGGGCACCAAGACCGGTGCATCGGAGTTGGAGACCCTTTTGGTTCGAGTATGTTCTAACTTCCATTCCGGTTTTGTTTGATCTCATTTCATTCCTACTCTCTGTCTATACACAACCAGGTGAATCACGTTTCAGCGCCATAAATTCACGCTCCACTTAGACAACATAGTGCACGCGCTTGTGTTACTATTTGCCGTCGGTACGTTAAATTTTTATGCACTGCGACATTTACGAACTCGAGCTTTGATCGTTCCCTCGCAGTCTGACTAATGGTTGACACTAATTTACAGTGCTCCACTAAGCCTTAAAATCAAAACTTTCCAGAGATCGTTCTTACGACGTAGTGTGGCTACCGACAGTGTCCTCTCACTGTCGGACTGCACAATTGCGTATGTCAGGCGACTCAGTAACGCCTTTTAGATGTGACTTGTGATGTTGTTTTCACATTTTGCGTCATCGATGAATTTCGCCCAATTCCCTGGGTCATCAAAAATGATGACTCGATCGTCATCACAATGTTCCGTCCTACTGGATTTAATTGATCACCTCAGCGTCTTTCCAAGAGCTTATCCTCATTGTATCAAATTTAGTGTCCCCTTATCTGAACACACCTGAAAGTGTGGCTCATCCAAAAGAACAGGTCACTTTTTGTCTGCGGCGTTCACCGGTCGTTTTTTCGTTGTATGGTAGTTACCAGAGTAACACATGCCGACCGGTAACCGAATCTAAGTGTCTTTCACTTTTGGTGTATGTTTGACTCACTCGGACTCTAAATATTTGTCTGAGCAGAACTATGAGAGTTGAGGCCCTTCTATCAATTGTGACAGCCAGTGCGCCAATTGTTACCCCAAAACAATTCTTGATTAAGCACCGGGGTGTGGTTGGAAGAGGAGGAGAGGAGGCCAAACGATGACTTGGTCGAGAGAAATGAAAACCCTCACTTCGAACTTGGCGTCGGTTGGTGCATCCCGACTGCCTGGCTGGGGTCCTAAGGACGATGAACACGTTTGGTTGGACACACTTGCTGATATCGCTAGGAGCCGGCCCCAATGGCGTTGATGTTGTGAGTTCCTTTGTCCATCACCCTCCTGCTCAGCGTCTCCCTCCAATCACGATCCCATTCGCTACGGCACGATAACCTGCTGTTAGCTCTCCGGAACGATGTCCATCCGTTACTGGGGTCTCAGCCGGCGTGCCACTGTTGTATTTTTTTTCTTGTCTAGTATTGCGGCACAATAGCTAAAGTGTTTTCTACCTGCAGCTAACGTGTATAATGATGATGATTGAACGTGCCAGCTGTACACCGTAACGGCGCTAGCTGCCGCGCGACCACCACCAGTCGCGCGCGGGCTGTGTATACCGCGAGGACGCCCACCCCTACGCGGATTCGAATCGGTGACCTTATGGTTGCAAAGCAAACGTGCAGACCACTCGGCCACCGGCCGATGATGATTACTCGAGCTATGCATGCAAACCGCAGTGATCCTTCCTCATCCTGTGTTATTGTAGTGAATATTGGACCCGACAAGTCCAGGCGTCTTGGTATATCTAAGCGTTGCTACCCATTTAATTCCTGCCTCTTTTAGTGACATCGCAAACACGACAGCTGGTCTCGATGACTGTCCTTCATTGCTGTTCAGGCGCAATGGCGACACTGTCTTTAAGTCTCTACAATCCGCCATTGAAGTGCCCTCTGAACTGTAACTGTGTATCCTCGTTCTGATCTTCGAAAAAAACCTGTTACAGCCGACTAACACGAAATCAAACATAGTCGCCAAACTAAATTCATGATACGAGTTGGAGCCATTGCTTCTTATAACGCTTACAGCCACAGAACGGTAGGCGATGCGACTCGCCAACTCAAGTAGTAAGATCAAGAAAACTTGCAAGCACTTGAATTTCAAGTTGGTGTTAATCAGAGAATAGCGTTGGTTATTAAACAATGTGAACCTGTAAGCCTATCTGTACGTTATCCGTGAAACAAGGTGCAGCACGAAGCAGCTGACGAGGGCAATACTTTCAACTAGAAAATTATGTATTTAGCTAGCTACTCATACATTGTAAGTAGCATCATACTTCGTGCATTTGGAATCCAATCCAGATCGTCTGCATGCATCATGCCGCATTAGTGCCGTAACTGGTCCCGCTTAACGCTTCCACCCACTAACGGTAATGGGAACACGAGCGATTCAGTTTTCTTCAGGGAATACGACACTGGTTATACCCCATGATACATGACTTGGAAATCCACCCAGAGCACTGAAAACCTGCAACTAGGCAGAATCAAGAAGGAACGAACAACTAATGACCCATTCGGGTACACAGAGGAATCTGATGGTGTTAACCTCAGTGAAACTTTTATCTGCGTCCAGAAATAACGACTGTAAGCAGCCAGGGAAACTATTGAAATGACAAGTTAAAACCATCGTTAGTGAATGGACGCAACAAAACCAAGGTACAGTTATGAACGTTTACCTAAGTATACCTGCACTTTTGTCGCTCTTCTAGCTAGGAGTAACTGATACGTTGTCCATTTTTTACCGTATGCTCTTCTAAAACCTTTCTCATTGGCGTTTCGTTACAGCCACAACTTAGTGCTGTGCTACACCGAGCGTTGAATTTGTCACTTACCGATGGAAATTGTGTTTCCCGCCCAAAAACACTGCGGACCACGACACGTCTCGACCTCACTTGTTCACATCAGGTGGATATAGCACGCCTGTAGTCCGGGACCAATGGAATATTAGTCGGAACCTCTGCCCATTTGGCTATCGGTCACGACGAGCAACACTTGTCACATCCATTCTATCTGCTTCGGCTATGACCACAATGGTCGCTTTGATCAAGGTTCTTTTCAATGTGAACTGCGGTCTACGTTGAGATTGCTCGTCGTGATCCATTCACACAACGAGTATTTCAAAAGGATCCACCAATTAATTTGCCACCTATTCTTATCGAATCATTTTCTTCGCATTTATTGCGAGAGCTAGAAGTGTTTTCCACAACTTGCGACATCTGTGGCGTCCGAAAGGGGTTTCCCTCTGTCTGAAAGGCCGTGTTTACAAGGCCACAATGAGGGCCGTCCTACTGTATGGTAGTGATACTTGCCTCTTTTCTGTTTGAGAATCTGAGGCGCACTCAAGTCTCTGCTCATCATTGTCTGAGGAGCATTGCTGGTATCGGACTGCATCAGCGTGTCCACAACGAAGATGTGCGTAAGCGAGTACTTGGTAATGAAAATCAGGCTGGTTCCTCAGAATAACAAATAATGCTGCTTGATTTGCGCCGATCGCTTACCGAGGAAATCCTTGTTTTGATCGCCGGATGTGAAATGGCGCTACGCTCGAGCTGGGCAAAAGTTAACTTGGCAGTGGGAATCAAAGTCCTTGACAATCAGACTGGGTGCTGTTCGTCCGTATCGCTCTCTGAACTGGAGCCTACCCGGCCCACCTTATGTTGGGCTCGAAAGGTTACAGGACATGACTCGCAACTGGCACCAGTGGCGTCTCCTGTCGTCTCCCATTCGGACTACCTGTTTAAAGTATACCTCATGCTGAGTTGTCTGCCGGATAATGACCGTTTATGTTTACAGCTGTGAAAGCCGCAAGGAAGTTGTCTCACCGATGCCGCCTTATCCTTGCAAGCCAGCCAGCTGTTTGTAACCGTCGGTTGTTGACAAATTATATGCGCCTTGACCTTGGATGTTTGTCTAGGGCATTTAGGTTTTACGCTAGGTCCACGTTCTCTTCCTCGTAATGTTCTTCGTTCCATGTGTCATTGTGCTTTTGCGGTAGTGAAGCATCGATTCGAATGGCTGATGCACTGTTGATGATGAGGGTTCTTCGCATGCATGCCTAACTCCCGTGCATGACGGTTGGAGAACAATTCGTCTAGACCCCAATAGTGTCCAGGGGATAGGCTATCCTAATACTTGGCAACCCCTTCTGCTATGACACAGTCGTGGAAACAGTTACTCTCTTTCCTTCGATCCTTCGCTTTTTTCTTCGATCTATACGTCTAACGATTGTGCCTTTTCATGCGTTTTTCGTCGAAGTTCCATCTCCATTTGCTTGCGTTCCGTAAACTCTTTGCTCCCTCCTAATGTTGCTTATTCTTGTTACCTGATGGATTATGGAAACTGGATCCTGCACACTGCCGTCGCTCTGATCCTAATGGAGGAGTTCAGCTGATCTGGTCGAGTGACGCCACAAGCGTGGCAAGAAAAACCACAACTGTTTACTCATCCAATAGGGGACGTACATTCCCTTCTCATAACTAAAAACCATGAAATCTGACCCTCATCAGCCCGATTTCTACCATCTTCACCTTGTCCCTAGCTCGGTACTACCAGTCAGAAGCCACATACAACCGCAGAGGGACAATTGGTCTGCACACAAAAAGTTCGTCTTCTTGCCACTACACCATCCGCACATGATGCGCGGATCGTCTTTAGTCACCAGTGCTCGTGGGACAATACTCACCAAGTGAACGATGTTGAAGTCCGCCAGTTGGTGTTTCGCAAGAAAGTGGTGCCTCACTCGAGTGGTTGTCGACTCTAAATCGCTTCCGTTGGCTACGCCATGTCTTCCATATGCCCATGGACCGCCTCCTTCAGTGTGCATTAAATGCTGCTGCTACACCAATTTGGCCGGTCCATCACGTGGCCCAAGGGCATGAAGAAATTGCATCAAATGGAACACATGATTAATCTGAGCTGAATCGACAAACGTCAGAATATTTAAACAAAATTTCCAAAAATGGGTTGCAAATCCCTTAGTCCGGAGATGATGTGCCGGATTTGTCCTCCAGTCACTGGGGTGGTTCACACTGATGCTCCCACCTATTCACACTTTACCATTTGATTTCCTGGTTATTGTGTAGCCTCTTCGCAGCTTGGAAAACAGCACTCACTAAGATGGGCGGTCACTATTCTTCCAACTATGTCCTAGATAGTGTGCACGGTCCAATTTCGACGTATTTTCCAGCGCCACATCACGGAACACGTGGCGACGCATCACAGTCGACTACTTACGGTTGGAGCCGTTCTC